GCTCTTCCCTGCCGCGTGCCAGGGGAAGCATCACCGGTGGGAGAAGGGGGACAAGTAGGACCCAGGTCCTTGGTATGGGCTGAATCCCGGTTCTGCTGAATCAGCAAAGGGCCGAGATGGCCTGTGCCATCCGGGTTGGAAGGTGTGTGATAATGAGCTGGGACCCAACCAGATGAGGAAGCGTATGGTGCTAACGAGGTTATGCCTGCAGCAACTTCAGCAGCCCATTGTTATTCTGTGTGCACCGAAGCCCTGGTGCTGTGCTGGTAGGTGGGGGGACACCGGCAGTCGCAGTAAGTGATTGCTTCCCGCACGCGGACTGACAGGGACTCCAGGCAGGCACCAGCCCCAATAAATCAGAGAAGGGAGAACTGGCCTAAACTGAGAATCAGCCCTGATGTGATCTGAATGTGCCGGCGTGTCTCCCGTATGGGCTAATTGAAAGGTTCTGCTTCTGGCCACGGTGCTGGCGGCCATTGGTGGGTAGAAGATTTGTTTGGTCCAAAGTGCCAGAAGAAGATGGTGGGCAGAAGCAAGTTTCCATCATTGCAATGGGGACCAAAGCTGTTCCTTTCCCTTGTTTCCATAAATTGGAAGTGCAAACTTGTAGTCAGTGTCTTCCAGAAACAAGTCTCTTCTCTTCCTGCTTCCCCGTAGCTTTTCATGTGCTTACGTTTCCTCATGGTTGAGCTGTGCCAGGAGCAAAGGTTTTCCTTGTCACCCTTGTGTGGTGTTCGGGGGGTAATTGGGCATGAACTCCTGGGCCAGGTGACAGGGGATTTAATAGAAAAAGGGGATGCTCAGGTCCCTGGTCCAAGATGGAGTGGCTGCCCCATCTAGGAAGCCATTCCAAGAGCTTTTACTGGTAAACGAGAGATCCCTGAGTTGATGGATGTTGGTTTGGATAAGGACACTTACTGGCTTGTGGCTTTTGAGCTGTGTCCCACTATCCAGACAAATTACAGCTTGTATAATGAGTTGTTTGTTTTGCAGTTCTGCTGGTGCCTACGTGCAGCTTCACCAGGAGCTCGGGCTAGGTCTCAGCTCCAAAATAGTGGTCTCCTTCACTCTCTGCTGAGAACTGTCTTTCCTAGATGACGGCAGACAGAAATATCAGCCGGGTTGCATCCACTCTGCAAAAGTACACTTTGTGCCAGCGCAAGGTCCTTGCGTGGACAGAGTACTCGGTTTTCTGTGCTTACAGGGCAGCTTTCTGAGCCCCGTGGTTCAGCTTGGCGGACTTTTTGGTGGTTAAACACAGGGGTAGCACCGGCACTGCAGCGTGGGGGACAGGGCCTCCATTCAGTGCTCGGTGGACCGTTTGCTAAACATCAGTTCTCCCAAACAAGAGCTCTGTTGTACCCCAGTTCTCAGTCTGTCTCGTCTGCATAAATTTTGCTAAGACTTCTAACATCTCCAAGCTTGCTGAATATTTACAAGATGAACTACCTCCTGATAGCTGTTTTGATGGCATTACTGTAGTACAGAAGGATTTTCTTCCCCAAGAGCTGAGCTACGTTTTTTTCTGTGGGAGATGTTTTCTTGGAACGGTGACCTCAGATCTGTCTCATGGTGCATGTTGATCATGGCTCCCCTGTGGCTGGCTCTGCAGCAGGTGGAGTTGTCTTCCATGTGTTGGTGCTCCACCGGCCCTCTCCAGCTCCGTGAGCTGGCTGTGGTCAGGGCTGTGGGGCAGCAGGAGCAGGGGTGGTGCTGAGGTCCCCCGGCTGCATGTCGGGGCACCTTCCTCCCGCGAGTCCCACTGCAAGATGGGCTCTTCTGCGTGGCAACCTCAGAGCCACCTCCCTGCAGCACGCCGCGGGGTGCCCAGCCTAGCAGCCGCCAAATGTAATGTCTTAGAAGAAGTTTAAAGCCAAGCAAGCTTGTCAGTTCTTCTCTACACACTGTCCGAGCCTTTAGGGTTTTCCTGTTTTTATAATTAACGGTTTTTAATTAACATTTCTTGCCTGAATTATGACCCTGTAAGTCCATGAAGAATTTCAGCGTCCACAGTATCCTGCAGTAAGGAGTTTAACATCTCACCTACATATTGCTGAAGAAGAGCCAGATTCTATTTGTTCTGAACCTACCTCCTGAGCTGTTAGCTTTGCCTCGTGCCCTCACCGCAGCCTCGTGCTCTCCATCTCACTCCTTCCCATCACTGGATCCCGGGGGATGCTGTTTGATACACTAGAGAAGATGCTCGAGAAACCTGACTCTAAAAAAAAAAAAAGTGCCATGGGGACTACTAATTGGTGCTAAGAGTTCTCCATGTGTCAGAATTTCCTTACAGGCTTGCACTGGGGGATCATTAGGTTCTTGAAGGACATTGAAGTGATTCCACTGCACCCTGAGACAGTCTTGTTGGCTCGGTGTTTTAAGTGAGATTCCAGTCACACAGGAAGCCTTGCCTTCAGTGTTCCTGACAAGGAGCTGCGAAAGTCCTGAGAAGCAGCTGGAGAACTGGTTGTGGGTTTTGCCACCTGGGAAGGTTTGTAGGGCCTGCTGGTGGCACGCAGTCATAGCTGTGTATCGGTGCCTTGTAGTTGGGCTGTGACCGCCCGGTTCATCTGCTCAGCCTGGCTGTTGTGGGGGCGAGAGCTAAATGAGTTTCACAGTGGAACGTAGAGTGGCCTTTCCTTCTTCTCCTCTGGAGCCACCAGTTTCCAGGAAGCCGCACATGCACGCTCTGCTGCCTGTCTTTCTCTGGTCCACAGGGAATGGAGGAGGAGGAGGAGATGCTGCCGGGAGTTTATTGCTGTTTCCTGTCTTGTCTGAGCTCTTGTCCCCTCTGAGGTGGTGGGCTGGGGCTGCTGGTCTTCAGACCTGCAGCTCTTTGTATTCCTGCCAGGAACAACCCAGCAGCAAAGTGAAATTGCAGCTCCTTCCTTGCCCCCTCGCTCAGACGGAGCAGCCGGTGAAAGGAAACAGGGGGATGAGTTACAGTAATAGGTTTAGCAGATGGCAGGGGAAAAACAACAGCTATTTCCATCAGCGCCCTCCTGTCAGCACAAGGGTGCCGTGCCACCTGCTGATCTCCAGTGTGCTCATCCAGCCTTGCTTCGCCTCCCTTCCCTGCTGTACCACTCAGCTGGGGTAAATTTTATGGGGTTTATTGATAAACTCTGATTTTGCTCCGCGGTGTAGTCTGTTTAGAAATGTCTTTGGGATGCTCTGTCCAGTAGATTCCACCATTGGTCTCTGCACCTGGGACATGCTATTCAGGTCCTTGCACACAGTTCTGTGGTCTCAGATCTTAACAGATAGTCTCCAGTTTCTAGACAACGCCCCGTTTGTTTCTAGTCCATCTTTGTTGTATTTCATTTAATTTTATTGATAGCTCTGTGGGTGAGTACCAGACGTTTAAGGTGCAAAGGGAAGGGGGGACCAGGAGGATTGAGAGCAGAATGCGTTGCCAGGATGGGTGGGCAGTCTTTGAAGGCAGCCAAGTCCTGGCATCACCCCATCGCTCTAAGAGAATATGATGTCTTCAGTAATTATCGTCTGAAAATGCAGATAAGCTTGAAAGAGAACAAAGCATAGCCCAGCTCTGGCTGGCTTTCTTGCTGAGCGTGGAGAGATTTCTCTGCTTGGCCTGAAAACAAAGGGGAGGGAGGTGAAAAGGTTGTTTTGCCAGTGGACTTGATAAGCAGATGAAGGGGCTCCTGGGGTCCATCTGGGTTGGTCCAGCCACCTTTCCAAGCAGTGGTCAGGCAAGTCAAAGCCTCAGGAGGGTCCCCTTACCACCAGGTGAATGTTTTCCTCGTTGGAAGCTCCAGTGCCTGCTCTGTGCTTGTTACTCTTCATGGAAGTAACAAGGATCAATGTGTGTCTCCTGGTACCAGAATATTTCATCTTAGCCAGATGGTCTTGATCTGCCACCTGTGTGAGTCTGAGGAGTGGGGAAAGCAGTCTCCTCTGTGAATGGACAGAGAGCAGGTTGCCATCACCCCGTATTACAGGAGCATTTCAAGACCACACCAGCAAATTATGTGAGTTTTGAGAGCCCTTTTGTGGCAACATGGACCGCTGTGGTTGGACTGGGGACAGGGACATTTGTTTGGGTTTCAGGCTGGCTGGGTGTCTTGGTTTGTTACCCATGATTTTTTGAGGCTTTTCTGGGCCCGTATTTTCCTTGATCTGGTGTTTGGTTTTTAATCATGAGATGCCCCACATTTCATTGTGCCTAAAGAGGGTTGTGCTTGTGCCCTGGGTTTGAGGCCGTTCAGCAACCATGTTTCTTGGCAACATACAAATAAAAGAAGAGACCCAGGACATGTGGTTTCTAACCCATCTCATCAGCCATGTGGCCAGCACTGGCCATGGCGAGAGGACTTGGGCTGAAGCTACCTCATTGACTCCTCATAACCACCCATAGGTCCTGCTTGCTGTGTCCTGGAGGAACTTTTTCTGCTGCACAGTCCTGGTATTCATCCTCTCTACAACACTTTAGTGAATTGTCCTGTTTAGGGGTATAAATGTTTGCTCCTTCCCAACTGCTCCCCATCCTTGTCCCTGAAAGAGGCACGGGACATGGAGAAGCTTTGGTGGTATTTCCCTCTTTGTCTGTCTTCAAAGTGGTGTCCGCTTCTGTGGGAGCTGTGGTCTGTGCTGGGAGCAGTTTTGGGGGTTTAGGCTTCCCCAGCTCCTGACTTTGCTGCCAGATCATCCCAATCCACCTGCCTTCGCCAAGTGACATGGTGGGAGTTGTGGCTGTCAGACAAAGCCACCAAGGAGGCCAGGCCAGCAACTGAGCCTCACCCTGGGAAAGACAAAAGCATGAAATTACTAAGTGAGGGGGTGAGAGATGGGCTGTTTGCCAGGCAGGTAATGCTCTGTGTCACCCATGGGGACATTAGCAGGTTGAGGGAGGTCAGCAGCAATGCCGGGGTTAGCCCTGCTGTGCTTTCCTCAACATCTTTTTCAGGGAGCCCATTGGAAAGAAGAGGTCTGGTAAGGACTCTTTTCCTCTCTGCTGGTTCCACCAGCTCCTCCTTTCACCCCCAGCCGTGGTCTCCTGGAGTGGGGCGAGGGCCTGGCCCTGTGGCGGGACTACCTACAGGGTGTGGGGCTCCCTGACACAGCGTGTCCCCCTCCATCCAGCTGGGGTTTCACTGCAGCCTCCAAGTCCCTGTCCCACATCCCCCTGTGCCTCCCATGGTGCTCCCAAAGGTGGGACAGGCGCCCGCAGCTCTCCACGCTGCGCTGGCCTCCCCGTTCACTTGATAATTGAGTCGCTGCCACTGTTGCTGCCACCTCCCCCGTTCGTTTCCCTCCCCAACTCATGCCTCGTCTCCCATCGTTTTGTTCCTCCATCAGGGTTTATCCAGAGAACGGCCTCTTTCCTGCAGAGAGGTAGTAACAGCCGCTCGCTACCCGGCCCTTGCTCTCACTTTGCCTTTTGCCGGGGGGACACCTGCTCGGGCTGGGTGGGCAAGCCCCTTGCAAGAAGCTGTCACGTTCCCTGTAGCTTTCTGTGGTGGCCGGTGGACACGGGGCAGTAGCGGAGAGGAGGTATGGCGGGCCGGGCCTGGTGCTTGGCTGTCAGTACAGGTCCGCACGCAGGGGCTGTGTCGCAGGTCACGGGTGAAGGGCAAGGCTTGGTCTGCAGCCAGGAGGAGGGAGATGCAAAATTTCCCAAGTCTGGAGGAGCTTCTGAGCTGGATGGTGGTCAGCATGAGGATGTCTCCCAGCGTGAGAAAGTCTCCCAGCGCAGCGATACGTTCTGCTTCATGATTGCACCAGCTGGGACCTTTTGCGTGGATGGTTGGGCCTGGGATGCTCTGCCCCTGCTCCTCATGAGAGGGGAGCATCTCTGAAAGACCCCCTAGTTGGTGTGCTTTCACAGTTATCTGAGCTTTCCAGAAAAAGGAGAAGGAGAGAGGAGGGGAAGAGCCTTCAGCCCATGGATTAGGGAGGGCATCTTTCAGCTACCGGAGATGCATAAGGTATAAAAATAGTGTGAGGGTCTTTGGGAAGGAAGGTCTGAATCTTGGCTGGATGGAGATTTTGCTGAAATAGGTTGTGGAAAGGTTTTTGGCCCAAGAGTTGAGACTGCCATAAGCTGTGTAAGCAAATTCACTTGTAGATGAGTGGGTTCCTTTTGGAGGAGAAAGAAAAGGTACAGGGGAGACTCAAAGACTTCATTCCACTTTTCTTTCTTTTCTGCTGGATCTGCAGGGCATCCCTCCCTCAAGAACTGATGGTGTCCCAGCCTCTTATCTGAGACTAGTTGTAGGATACATATGAAAAGCTCAGATGTTGTCTGCTCGAACAGTGGCTCCTGGTTTTGCTCTGTTCTCATGGGCAGGTCATAACTGGGCGGTCTCCTGACTAGCAAGGGTTTACCAGTACGGTTAAAACCTTCAGACAGCATTTTCTCCTTGAACTCTGATTGCTGCAAGGTGTGTCTGTCAAAGCTGGACCTTGGGAAGCTCATTTTATAGCTCTCGTGAGCCATTTGCAAGCACAGGCTGCAGTTTTTGTACGAGCTTTCTTGTGCTGCAGTTGGTGGGTCTTCAACTAGCTTTGGAGGCAGAGAGAAGTCTCTGGCTGTGGGTGGGGACAAAAACACACTGCAGTTTTTTCCCTTCTCCTCTCTTTTGGTAAAACAGAGGTAAAATAAAGATGCGGTCTCCCTCATCTTGAAAACTTCTCTTCTGTGCTGGTTCTGTTTCCCTATGAGATCAGTGTGTGTTTAGATCACTTTGAACCCAGTCCACTTAATGTTAAGCAAGAGAAAAGAAAACCTCTTTAGGGTTGAGGAGAAGAGGAAGAACGTTTCTGCTGCATAACTCAGTTCTTTGAGGGCAGAATTCCATTTAAGGATGCTGGCTGCTAGAGAAGCAGGAGCTTTTCTCCTCTTTGTGTACACAGCTTCATCTGCCTTCCCACTGCAGGTCTGTGGGCAACTTCACTCCGCCATCCTGTTGGCACGGTGGGTTTAGACGTGACACAGGGATGTTGCTGAGGTCAAAGAGAAAATGCTCTTTGGGGTGCTGTTTGCTTGGCATCGCTGAGAGGGAGGGAACAGGGAGAGTTTGGGTAACATCCAAGCCAGAGCCTGCTCTGGCAGGATGTGATGTTTTGCCCATGGCACCTGGCACATCTGCAGTAGCCATCGGGGGAAGATGTTTGCGTGCAGTAACGTTACAAAGGGCTGATGCCTCGTGCCAGGCATGTTCAGAGACTCCTCTCGCTGTCGTGCGTTTTCTGGCAGCAGAAACGGAGTTTGGTTCTGATGCTGTCACCCTGAATCCTCTTCTACCTTGTGGAAGTCCCTGATGGTTCATCGGTTCCTCAAGCCAGCCCTCTTTTGAGGTAGCAAATATGCAGCAAACCCCTCTTTCAATAGGGGATCTCCCTGAGGAGGCGGCAAGCAATAGCTGCTAACAAACAAAAGTAATGAGGATTGTTTCCCAATCGCTTATTTCTCCCAGCATTGCCAGCGAGGGGGTGAGCTGCTCTTCAGGAGAGCGTTGGGAAGAGCTCCCGAGCTCCTGGCACAGCAAGCCCTGTTTTGAAATGGAGTTTAAGCAAACACTGGGATACAAAGTGGGTTAAAGTGCTGCCTGCCCTCAGCCTCCTGTGGTGGCCAAGAGACTCAAGTGACATTTGCTGTTGCGAGGAGAGCCCAGTGTAAGTGAGCACTGGAAATAAAATCTGCTTCCTCTGATGAGCTTTTTTAACCAGTATTTGTAATCCCACGTGTCTGTGAGCCTTCGGCACGGGCCCAGGCTCCGCACAGCCTGCAGCTTGCAGGGGGGTGGATTGTTCCCCAGACTCTGCGACTCTGAAGACTGACTTGGCCACTGATTTAGGTACATCTAAAAGTAGTCATCGTATCAGCCCACAAGACTGTTTTGAGCGTTTCTATTCACTCCTCTCGCAGTTCAACAGAAAGCACAGATGGAGCGCCATGGGTTTGCTGCAGCACTGACTTACTGCAGGGGAACCTGAAACTGCCTCCAGAGTTTATATTTGGGTGGAGCTGCCCAAGGAGGCTGGCAGAGAGCTCCAGTATCCCCCTGCCAGTTTTATTTTAGATGCTTTCTTGTGTGGCCACATCCCTTTTGCTGTGCTACGTAATGTGCTTGCAATGGCATCGAGACCCCAAACCACAGTATTCCCTCTAATGAGGGACAATGAAAACACAGCGCTCGTATCCTACAGCAGCCATAGGGGCACCTTTCTAAAACTCCACTGGTGAAGGGTATTTCCATGTGATTATTTTCCAGTTCTGGAAAAACCCCTAGAGAGATGAGAGGGCTTGCAAAGAGAGATGAGAGGGCTTGTAAAGAGTACAGCACAACATCTAGTGCCCATTTCATGGGAGAGCAGAAACTCACCTTTGCGGCGCTGATCTTCGCAAACTCATCAGGTCTGGGAGAGGACGGGCTGTCCTGAGAGCATGGGACAGATTAGTGCAGGCCGGGGGATGAGGAGACAGAAACTTTATCCGAAGTTGGATAAAACATGACATTTTCAGAAGGTGCGTTAGGCAGGGGCTAGAGTGTACAGCACGGGCAGGCTTCAAAAACAAGTACCTGGGCCCCCTCTTTTATTTCAGTGCTGAGCTCTTTGTTTCCCTCTGGAGGCACCAGTGCCCAAGCCCCATAAGAAAGTCATGACTTTTTGCACTGATACTACAAAGCCCAAAATTGGAAAGGCTGGAAATGTCACAAGGAGCCCTGTATCTGTGAGATTTCCTACCTGGATTTATACATCTCAACACTTTGGGTGAGTGGCCAAGTTCCTGGTCATAGAAAATCTGCAGAGATTTGCAGGCTAACTCGTATGTGACGTGTTTTGAGAGCGAGGTCCCGGGGCTGAGCAGTGCTGGGGTTGGTAGCTGGGATGTGCGCTGCCTGGACGCAGTTCCTGCCTGGCCCTGCCTGCAGAGCTGAGCGCGTCTCCCCGGCGGCTCTCCTGCATCCACAGCAAGCATCAGTTCTGCAGGTCCCCTCCAAGGATCTCAGTGGTCTCTTGACTCAATGCTCACCCCTTCTCTAGGCCGCGTTTGTGTCAGGCTCAGAAATGAGGAGTGTTCAGGGTACACAGCCTGTGCTCCTGCCTACAGCTGTCTGCAAAACTCACTCTCTTGTGGGCTCTGGGCTGTCCTGGTGCTTCCTCCTCTCGCCAGCTGCAGACCTTTACTCCTGTCTCTCATCTTAGATGGTAAGGTTTACACCATTGCTATTTTTAAGAGGCTAAGTCTGCCCATAAGTAGGATATTTTGTTGTTAACTTGAGTGTGTATTTTTGTGGTTGCGGATGATTATGACAGGTGAAGACGGTCCTGAAATTAACTCCTACTTCTTCCTCCGAGCTCAGTTTACCACTTCTGTTGCTGGTTTAATAGGTACATTGGAGGATCCAGAATTGCCTGCTGAAACTACAAATAGCCTCAGAGCAATGGGTGTAATTACAGCGAGGGAGGCAGAAAGGAGAGGAGTTCTCTCTTCCTATAGCTGTTATTCTTCTCTCAGGGGCTGGGTAGATCCTCTGATCACGTTAAGCACAAACATTTAATTGAGCTAGTAGAACAGATAGTCCTAGCGTCCACCATTCACTTTAGAGAGCTATTTTTAATTCTGTCTGGTGCCCCACCTCTGGGTTTTGGCATGGAAGAAGCTTTCATTAGCGGTAACAGATCCTCTGCACTTGGCCAGCTCACCTGGAGCTCTGCAGAGTGCTGTTTATAGCAGAATAACACGGACAATTTGCCTCCTCTTCCTTCAAATAAGACTGTCCTGAAGATACATTGCTCATTTAGATCTTTGTTGTGGTCTTTCTTTCAAAGAACGAGTTTGAGAGGTTGTGACCTTGGGCACAGAACTTCTCTGTGGGAGAGCAGAGCATCCTAGGATTGCTGAAGACCTGCTAGATCTTGTCCATCTCTGCTCATCCGTTTGGGGGATAATTATGCCACCCTAGGTTTCCTATGGGGGAACCTATGTCCTGCAATAGGTTCCTCCATAGGAAAGAGCTTTTGTAGGCTGAGACCTGTCGTGGGATGGAGAACCTGTTGGCTCCTCTTGCAGTGTAGGTGCACTTGCCCATAGAAACTTACTCTGATACGTACCCTGAATTTTTCTTTGCTGCATTTTGCCATTATATGCCAAGGGAACCATCACTCTCTATGTCATTTCTTTCTCACACCCCTCAGAGCCTGGGAGGCAATTGTCCTGTGTATCTGTGGTGCCATAGCAGCTAGAGGGCTGGGCCAGATGTGATTTCTTCCCTAACCCCAAACTTGAGGCTCCCTGCTCAGAGCACATGCACAGCCTGTGTAAATTCGACTTAACACCTGTGATCAGGTGTGTGATTCTTTTGTATCACTCCTGCTATAATAGTTAAAACTACCTTATTTCCAAAGCACTTGGCAGATATTAATTCATTCTTACCGCACCTGGGGAGAAAGGGGTAATAATAACAGTGTCCTCATCTGACAGGTTGCGAAGCCACAAAGCAAAGTGTTGAGGTGGAAGCCAGAACCAGAGCTCGGGGTGGAAAGGTGTCGTGGGCGAGAGTTTCTGACACCTTTTGGAGGCAGATGGGGCAAGTGCTGCTGGTGCTGCAGGTCACGGGGCGCCTTGGGGCTGGTTTAGGGGTAGGCTGAGCCCCAGCGAGCGCCCGGCTGAACAGGCTGGACTCAGCCACCGAGCACCCGCCGTGTCTACTCCTGTGGCCCTGCAACGCCCGGGGTCACGCCGGGGT